CAAAAGAGGCAAAGCAAACAAATCAGTAAGTGATGAGAAGAGCAGAGAAATCAAACTTGTTTATTTCCACTGCTCTTCTTTGTTGAGGCCTTGAGCTTAGCTCAAGACTGTCCATGTCACCATAAACATGTGCAAAGGTTAAATGTGTTTGTTCTTGCCCTCACCTTGTCACATCACTATAAATGTAGCCTTAGGAAATTCAATTTTGAATTATTTAGTGTTTAATAATTAGCATGTTTGGTATTTTTTAAATGCTTAGTTTTTATAGTATATACAAACACACAAAAACTACACATGCCAATTATTAAACTCTAAATAATTAAACACACATACACAATGGAATGAAAAGTATACAATAAAAACTATCTGTATTAACATACATAAAGATTTATATTTTAATCATAAAATTAATCATGATTTGAATTTTTTTATTGCTAAACAGCCTAATTAACTAGCTATTAAAGTTAATAGCTACAGGATATATTGATACTAAATTTATGAAGGTGATCTGGAAAATAGTACCCATTCACAAATCACACATACACAAATGAACAAACTCAAACAATGGGAGGTTAACCACTTGCATTCATGTGTTTGCCAGTCTCTGTGTGAGTATGATGCCTGGCTGTGTCACAGTGAGAGTTTAAAATGAATAAGAACTGCTGCTTGTAAGGTGAGGTCTGTCATTCATTTTCTGAATGCAAAAAGTGTGCAATCAATCATCAAACCATAGATGTGTACGGTAATGTTACAGATGAATCAACAGTGTGAAAAGTTTAATGCAGGAAGAGAAAAATGTCAATAATGAACAATAAATCCAGTGCCCATCTGTCATTACAAATGATGATCTGCATTATGTGGATGACTTCATATACTGGATTGACATCGCACTCAGTGAAATTCATGCAGAATTTTCACATTTCTTGAACAACACTAGGAAATTGTCACAGTGCACCTTGAATTTTGAAAAATTTGAGAGACAGATTCCATGTATGCTTTCAGAACAATACAAAACAGACCATATAAATGCTGTTTTAACATTTCTGGATCAGTACTCAAGAGGAGGAGATGCATTCCTGACACATCATGAAACATGGATGCCCTCCAGTATACTCACGATCAAATATCACTCAATGGAATGTCATTACACACATTCACCAATCAAACTACAGAAATGCAAACATTTATTATGAAAAGGATTTCTGTATTCAAGTACACTATAAAACAGTTTAAAAAAATTAAACAAGGTTAAACTGATGACCAAACAAGAAATCAATGACCCAAAATTTCACTAAGTATATTGTTCATTTTGTGGATTCTACAACTTCCAAAATAAATTCATTTCCATATTCTGAATATTTTGTTGAACACCCTTATGTAAATTTTTAGTAGTAGTAAGATATTTTTTAAATTTATACTTAATTTAAAGATCAAACAATAGTTATCTGTCTGTATTTATTCATATTTAATATAAATTATTCACCAAGACTACAAAATTATTCAGTAAAAAAAAAAAAACAAAATAAAACTTAATATTTAAACTTTTATTGTATCATTAAATGACAAATTTGTTTTTTACATTTTTAAATATACAATCAAACCTCAGGCTGAATAGCTTGTTCGGCAAACAATAAATCGGTTGCCGAACAAGCTATTCAGCAGAGGCAGTCAAAGATGATAAACTTCATATACTTCCTATGTTAAAGAAAGTCAACAGGTCAACCAATCAAGACTAGTGATTCAGAAGTTAGTGGCACCGAGATCGCATTGCATCACGATACAAATCATCAATGACATTGCTATTTAAATTACATTTCAGTGTGCAGTGAGAAAGATACCATTTCCATGAATGAAAATATAGTTCACTTCACACCAGCGTTTAGAAATTAAAAATATGACACTTCTGTGTTGCAGCGTTATTGACAGCGATTTGTTAAATTTCAGATGTGCTCGCTAGTACTTTCAACAGTTTACAACCGTTGTCTTCAGGCGAAATTGAATACCTTTGTTTTTGAATTGACAGCTTTTAACGGACTTTTCAAATTATGTAATGCACTTGGTTGGAATATAGAACAAATTAATAAAATTGAATATATAAATATTTTTAAAGAAACATGCTGTAATAACTTGAACTCCCCAAAACATAAATATTGATTGATGGTGCCATGCATGGTAGTGGAATAAAATCAGAACACAAAATTATAACTTGGATTGTTTAAATAAAGTTATCCATAGCTGTGGTATTTCCAATGTCGGCGCATTACACGGCAAAGCAGCGGATATGTAGAGGTTTTCCCATATTTGCCTAAGATCATTGCAATGCTTAAGTAATTTAACATGGTTCCAAAGTGGAAGATAATCTTGGTCTAGCACCTTTTTCGCTAATTCTGTAGCTGGTCTGTTATTTCTAATGTCCTCTTGATGTTTGAGGATGCGGGACCGTATCATTCTGGTGGTAGCTCTAATATAGATAATTTCCTCCCCTGATATTGTATGTTTTAATAAAATTTTATAAACTCCCGATTTTTCATTCAACGTGAGAATGTCTCTATCGTTGCACAATGTTCTTCGTAGTGACGGTTGAGGGCTTATAGGTAATATAAAACCATGCTTCCTGAATATGTGTGTTACTTTTAGTGAGATGGTGTCCAGGTATGGTATTGGAGGGTTTATTATCTTTAGGCTTTCTTTGTTGCAGAGGAAAGTTTTTGGAAATAATTTGTTTATGACCAGGTTGTAGAGATATCGATATTTGGAGTTAGAATATCCTGCATTGTGCATTGCTCTTGAACTGTTGAAAGTACTAGTGAGTGCATCTGAAATTTAACAAATCGCTGTCAATAACGCCGCAACACGGAAGTGTCATATTTTTAATACCATTTCCATTTTTAATTGAATAAAAATCACATTAATTAATAAAAACCAAGTAAATTTACATCTAATATAAATGACATCCAAAAATTCATGTTTAAATATACTTAATTAAGTTAAATTAAATAACAAAAATTTATTAATACTAGGTAACCAATTAATTAAAACTAAAAATACATACTATTTTATAATTTTTAAATTTAATTATTAAAACTTGCCTTTAAGTCAAAACTGAAACCAAAATTAAAAATAAAATTAAAATTAAACTCAAATCAATTGAAACATAATATTTCAGAAAGTGTGGATAAACTAGTAGTTGTTCATCTTCATTGATTTGGTTACATTTCATCCAAGCAGTCAGAGTTGAGTTTCTATTATAGTACTTCTTTGTAAAGTGTTCTTTTCGGTTTTGGTTGGTGGTGACAGAACATTTTGCTTTTAATATATATATGTAGAATAAATACAGCTATAGATAATATAATAGATGATGTTTCAAAAAGAATCATCTGATTTAAAAAAATCATAACTATTCAGCTTTTAATCTGTTTTGATCAAATGATGTGCTGTTAGAAAGAGGAAATTCTTGAGTTTTACATGATTGCTGACTGGCAGCACCCTCACACTTTGTTCACCTGTCATTTCCATATTTTCAAGATGGTGACTGGACAACAGAAATTACTGTGTGTTCTACGCTTTGCGAAGTGTGGGTCCATAACAACTGTTCAGCATGATTTTTGTTGACAATATGGTGTTGAACCACCTACTGAATACACAGATTCCCCAACGATGGATCGGCCGCATGGGACCATGCATGGATAATGATTCAGCTTTACTTAACTGGCCTCCTAGGTTGCTGGACCTAACTTTTTTTTTCTTGTGGGGGTTTATAAAAGACTGTTTATGTGCCTCCTCTTTCAATTACAGTAGTCGTACTGCAAAACCACATAACAGCAGTGGATCCAGACATGCTCATAAAAGTTTGGAACAAATTTCACTACCATTTGTACATATGCCATGCATCCAAAGGGGAGGGATATTGGGCATCTATAATTTAGTATGTAAAAAAACTTGAAGATTAGCCCTGTAATATAAAATTAATGTGTATCTTCATTACTTTTCATAATATAGTCATTTTAAATCAGATGATTCTTTTTGAAACATCCTATATTATAGTGAAGATCTTAGTGACGTTCTTTCCCAAACTCCGTCTCGTTGAGTTGGTTTCCGTGTGTATTATGATTCGATGTAGTGATCCAGGTTTGATGGAAAGCACACCTCTACACTCAAATTGATAATATTTACAGTTTATTTACAGATTCTATATGCAGAAAGTACAAGTTTGAAAACATAATATATATACAGGATAACAATGCATAGTGACTCACGTACTAGATTGGTTTCCAGGAACTGTTAAACTTTGGAGAGGCCTCAGTCAGCTCGTGGAGTTGGCTCAACTGCACAGTCCGTCCAGTCTCCGCACTAACCTGTCCCTGAGATGCTTACCAGAGGAGAACACTCTCTCTACACTCAGCAGACTTCCTAAGTGCCTGAAACTACTATGTACCAGTCTCTTGCCCTTCTCTCCTGCTCTCTTGTTCGCCTCGCAATTTAAGGGTTTTTTGGACGGAGACTTCTGAGCAATCACACTCCTTCCTTGTCTGAACAGCTTACACTCGGGTCCGCTGTCATCTGACGGGAGTGAAGCTTACATAAACGTCTGCCACTTGTTTACATTCAGTTGTTTACCATATGGCAAATGGTCTAATGTCTGACTACAAGTGGGTCCAACTGACAAAGTTGATACTTCCTTTGTTTTCCCTCTGTTTACAAGTCAACATCTTACAAGTGGTACATTGCTCAACCGCATGTGGGTCCAATTGACAAGGTCGCGCCTCTTTTGTTCTCTCTTTGCTAAGAGGTCACTACTTTACAATTATATTGCTTTTATATGCATTTTTATGCATAAAATACAGCAAACAGATTAAAAAAAAGGTTTTGTTTTGATTTTAGAACAAATTGGTTTTTGAACAACATTTAGGAATGAATTAAGTTAAAAACCTGAGGTTTCACTGTATTACACTATATAAATGATTTTTGATATAAACAAATCAAAATTTTATAATACTTACAGTATTTCCTAAATTATGCAAACCAGATGTGCAGTGTTTTTTCAAAATGTTATTTGATGCCCATAGACTGTTATTAGGTTTTCCATCCTGAAACAAAGAATTTTAAAAGTTAAAAATTCAATTTTCTATTAAAAAGCATTTACAAAAAGAAAAAACATCTCTCACAAATCAAAACATAACTAGGCAAAAAATTAATTAGCAATAGAATAATACAGTAGAGCGTTGATTATCCAAAAGTCAATTATCCGAAAGAATTCCAGTCGGCAAATTTAAATTTTCGCCAGTGCTGTGGCACCGCAATCTTTGGCTATGTCTTTGGCTACTCAAATATTTTACGTTTTTTATACTAAATTAACTTCTGAAGTATAATTTTTTATTGTTTTTATATTTTTCAATATATTTATTTTGTTTGTACAAAATAAAAAAACAATTTTTAACGATACAATAGTCTTCATTAGGCTTAACATCGACAAAAATTCAACCCAAAGTGACGCGCAATGGAGAAAAATTTCAACATGGGATAAATTAATATATTTTTTCGTACATAATCGGTTATCCGATATATCGATTTTCCGAACAACCCCAGTCCCCAATTGATTCGGATAATCGACGCTCTACTGTATACATAAAATAATTTAAACTTTACTTAATCTCAATGATTAAGCTACACAATTTTATTTATATTAACAAAAAGTTTTGTTAATCTTAAATTGAGACATGTTTGTAAAGTAAACTTTTGATACTGACAGTTTTACTAATTCAAAGATTGCACTTTAATTACTTCAAACTGCTTAATTTAAGGAAACCAATTTGAATCTGACACAATTTTAAAAAGGCAGCAGATGAAACTGACACAGGCTTGATAGAAGCCAAAGATGTTTTAAAGAAAATAAGCAACTAGTTTCCTTAAATTAAGCAGTTTCAAATAATTAAAATGGTAAAATGTTACCAAGTTTTGTGAAGTATAATTCAAAGATTTTCAGACAGTATGGTTGATATTCAATATAATCATATGACTCAAGTAAAGAGTAGTGTATGACAAAGGGATTCACTATGAAATTGGACTGCACTAGGAATCAGCCCTTAGCCCATTTCTGTTCAATTTGGTGATGGATGTATCGGTGGAAGATGCGAAGAGCAAGGTGAAATGAAACCGTGATGTGTGAAACATCCTGTGATAAGGTAGAAAAGCTGTAGGAATGGAGAAACGCATTGGAAGAGAGATGCATGATAATCAGCAGAGCAAAGACAGTACAGTCAAATCTGTACTGTCAAACCTCGGTTTACGAACTTAATTCATTCCTAAAAGTTGTTTGGAAATCAATTTGTTCTCAAACTGACAAATTTTCCCATAATAAACAATGTAAAATAGATTAACCCATTTCCAACTTGAAAACAAAACTTTTATTTTTTATCTTTTTTAGCTGTATTTCATCCATAAAAATGCCTACAAATGCAATGCTATATAATATTACAACAATAAATGAATAATGAATAAAGTTTATAAATAAGAAAGAATTTCATTCATCCTTATCTGTGCTAAGAAGACTTGATGGTGCAAGGGGAGGGTAGAGAGGAATGGATGTTATTTCTTGGAATGGGAGTTCCTCTCCATATCATCATCAGGAAACTGAACTTCAGGAATTTTTTCTCTTACCTTTTGGATTTTCTGTTTCTCACTAGCATATTCTGCTTGGAACTCATTATGCCTCTTTTTCACTAAAAATTTATCTAACGAAATTTGCTTTTGTCTACATTTCACAATGTTATGGAAGTGAAACATAGTATTGTCATTGAAAAGGTTAATGGCTTGCTACTGCTTTATCAGAGTAATATCTTTCAACAAAACTTTGCCCTTCATACCATTTTGCACACGTCATTAATAAGAGCACTAGGTAGACAAATTGGTACCGTGTTCCTTCACTAGCTCTTTGACACCAGAATTGTTGACTTCCAAGCTCATGCTTTTGTCCAGAGATATGATGTCATCAACAACTCTAGTACACTCCATCCTGAATCCCTGAAGTCTCTCTCTGTAACACAATCAGTCCAGAGGTTCCTCCAGGTTAAGTTCAAGGAACTGCAAGTCATTTGCTGCCAGGCATTGTCAATAAGACGTAAAAAATGGAAGATATTGAAGTGATTCTTCCAAAAGCCACAGAGAGTTAACTCTGTGTCAGAGGTAACCTCAAAACACCTTTGAAAAAGTGCTTTGGTGTAATACTTTTGTGAGATTAGCCAGGGACCAAGGGGACATTCCCTAATAACCACTTAATCAGCATGGGTTGGTAAAACTTGATCTTTATGTCTGTGAGTGGAGAGGTTGTAAGTTGACAGGGTGTCTGTTATTCTGAGCAATGACAGGTAACCAGGTTAACAAATAAAAATATAAGTTTAATATAAAACGTCTAAACCTAAGAATACACAGAAATACATTATATACATTTAAGGTGACATGACAAAGATATCTATGTGTTCTATCCGCTATTTGCTCTTGAGAGAGAGAGAGATGTGGTTCTCTGTCTTTGTGGAGGTTGAGCTGTGATCGATGTCTTCCTTCTTATACAGTGATTCGGGCCATTGTCTCCTATGGGAAAGTCTGCTTTAGGCTGTTCCGAATATGATGGGACGGAAGTCTTCTCTTTTGTTCGTGGAGTCCGCCTTGTGATCGCTGTTCTGGAGATAGCTGTTGGGAACTGGGTTGCTGTCGCCAGTGTATGGCTGTCCAGGCTAGTTCACACCGACTTCAGTTCTCACCTCCCTTTTATCGATTTAGCTTGGGAAAAAGAGTCAGGTGATTGACTGTTTGGTGATGCATCTGCAGGTGTGCAGTCAGAGGTGAGCCATTGATGATGTAAAACTCTTGTTATATGGAGCTGTCATGACCGTATTTGGTTTGAGACTTGTATGCTTCCTTCTATTCATATGTCGACAATTGACTTTCTCCTCCTTTAACACTGGGTTGTTTATTGTTTAGTACTTGGATGTTATATTTCTCAGCTAGTTGTTGATAGTACAGGTGATATTCAATCTGTTTTCTGCGCAATGTTTTCTTTACGAGTGCAATGGAGAAATAGGCTTAAGATTTTTCTAAATTTTATGCAGAATCACAGCTCGATTCACACTTTAAAGTTAAAAATGATGTGTTGATCCATCAGTGAATCAGTGGAGTTGTATTAGGAGACAGAAATTTCATAGTAAAGAGAAGTCACTCTTCCAGTAACTTGGCCTCCATGCCAGGGAAGATAGACAGAAGCATTATCCATCAAAAGCAGACACTTCAGTGGCAAGTTATTTTCATTAAGATATTTCCTCACACTAGGAGCAAAAATTTCATGGACTCATTCCAGGAAAAAGTGTCTGGTCACCCAGGCTTAATTATTAGCCCTCCACATGACAGACAACTTGCTTTTCATATTATTTCTCTTAAATAGATGAAAATTCATAGATGAGCAATGGTTTCATCTTAAAAAGTTGCATTGCCGCAAAGCAAAGAGTTAGACTGTCCTTCATTAGCTTGTGTCCAGGCAAAACTTTTTTCTCCTGGATTATGTATGTTCCGTTTGGCATTTTCCAAAACAGTCCAGTTTCATTGCAAACATTTGCTGGGGGATAAAACCCTCAACAGTCACATATGCACCAAATTCTTTCACAAACTTTTCTGCATCTTTTTTTGTTCACACTTGAAGCCTCTCCATGCACTGAACCACTTTGCTTCTTAAACTTTTCAAACCAACCTTAAACACATCAGTCTCAGAACTTGAACCTGAAATTTTCTTGAGCAAATTTTGGTGCAAAAGCTCTGCTTTCTCACAAATGATAGTATCTGAAATACTGTCGCAGCCAACTGCAATTCGTTGATCCAAATTAAGTGCAACTTTTCCACTTCTAAGGTCTGCAATCTTTGCTTGGTGTTCATAGCCACTCCTTTGATAACATTAGCATCCTTTATTGTTTCCTTATTCTTGAGAATGGTACAGATCAGTGACTTTCCTACATCAAACTGCAAAGCCAGATCTGAGACACACATGCTATTTTCATGCTTCCGTATGATCTCTTTCCTCATCTCTATTGTTATTTTCACTCTTTTCCTTTTCACCTTTATACTTACACTAGCTTTCTTAGGTCTCATGGTGACTTATGGAATTAAAAAAAAAAAAAAAAAAAAAAAAAATGGACAATGCAAGAAAAATCACCAAAGTCAAAGAACAGTTCACTGCAAAGTAATGCTATGTTGCCAACTCCACAGATTAGACCAGTGTTTCTCAACAAGGGCAATATCACCCCCAAGTGGGCGTTTTTCCATGTTGAGGGGGCAATTAGTAACAATTTATATTTTGGGGAATAAAAAACAATTTTCTGGGCAATATAGTAAAACATATTAAGAATAATTAGATATTTTATTTGTTATATCGCACAATAATTAAACAAATAACATTATACTAGTCACTAGTCTACTCAATGCAGTACGAATTTGGCGTTAGCCTTGGCCCTCAGCATCGAAATTTTGTAGTGAAGGGGGTGATACTACATAACAGTTTTATTGAAGGGGGCGATGATTCATTAGAGGTTGAGAAACACTGGATTAGACAGACAGACATAGATGGACAATTTTGAGAAAATCACATGACTAAACATATGCAGCACACCATTGGCGAGTGACATCATTAATTTTGATTTCAATTTACTATGGTATGCATAATTTATGGAAGCAATAATTTGCTATTGTTCACTTTTCCTGAAAACTCAGAAAAGTAATAAATATTATTTTTGTATGATAATTAAATTTTTTTCTGGCTTACAGTTACCTATGCTTTTCTAAAAGATGTTCATTACAAGTTCTTGCATTTAATTAATAATGCCAAATGTTGATTACATACTGATGAGAAATAATAAAAAATATATTTAAGCAACAAAAATTTATTATTAATTTGAATTAAGCACCTTTAAATGTGAATTATTGAAAGTCATTTATATTACACAAATATCAATTAACACGGTTTTTATTAATTAAGTAGCTGTGGCTCAAAATGTATCTATTATAAATATATAACACTCCCTGCAGGAGGGAATTTTGAAAAATCCCTTCTTAGTGTACATTATCTTGATGCACCCTATTAAAACACAATCAAAAACGCAAAAAACCGTATCTAAAATAGAATAATAGAAGAACAGTTCTTCATGGTAAGCTTTGATTTTGTCCCTCTCCCCTGCGGGGGAATTTTAACATCTATATAATATAAAAACACACGCACATTCAAATGCAATGTTGTGTCAAAATTTCAAAGCAATCAATTAAGAACTTTAGGAAATTTAAGATTTTGAACAAACAAACATTTACATTTTTATTTATATAGATTTGATTTAAATTGAATTGTGACGTGTCCCAAAAACAAGTAGTATCATACACACATGTGCATTGAAATGTAATTTAAATAACATCATTGATGGTTTGTGTTGTGATGTCTAATGATGCAAGACAAATCTTGGCACTACTACTGAATCAGTAGTCCTGTCATTGATTTGTCAGACTGTTGAACCTACTTAACATAGGAAGTATAAGAAGTTGACCATTGGTGACCAGCTGTGTCAAATAGCTTATTTGGAAACCAAGTTATCATATAGCAACCGGCATTCAAAGTTTGTTCATAATCCAAACTGTTCATCAACAGAGGTGTTTGTAACCCAAGGTTTGACTGTATATATATATGATATCTGGTGGAGGAGATGAGAGTTACATACAAGTCAGGATGAAAAGTTAAAAACAGCTTCCAAATTTAAGTATCCTGGATTATATGTAGCAAGTGACAGAGGAATGAGTGCAGAAATCCAGCAGAGAGTTCAGAGTGGATGGCTAAACTGGAGAAAGAGGAGTGGGATGCTGAGTGATAAAAAAAAAATAAGCTGCAAAACGAAAGGAAGATTATACAAAACCATGGTATGACCTGCAATGATGTAGAGTGCTGAGATGTGGGCAATTACAAGAGACCAAGAAAAAAAAAAAAATGGATATAGTGAAGATGAGAATGCTGAGATGGATGTGTGGTGTGACAAAGGACAAAATTAACCTTTCAGCAATGGGATAGTCAGGTATGATGCTACCCCAAAGTAGTGGAGAATAAACATGGGAAATTTTTAAAGATTATTAATTATTTAACTGAGAATTATTACAGCAAGAAATCAATATTAACATGTTCTTTACTAAGAACTGATCATATCTTTACAACAATAAATTATTAAAACTAAAAGTTATAATAATAGATAAGTAAATAAACACTAACCATACTGCTTATTAAGGTTACCAAATATACAGTCTTTATTTGAAAAATGTTTTCAGCTCAAGCTGAACAATCTTTAGGGTTAAAGAACAGTTTTAAACTTTAGGAACATCTTATATAAAAATAGAACAAACTTTTAAACTAAAAAGAACAAACTATTTTAAATTATATTTTAGAATAACAAATTTTGACCAAAAGAACAAAAATATTTAAATTATGTTTTAGATCATAACTTACTTTTACTGATTAAATATTATTTTTGAAATTTTTTAATCAGTCAGTATGTAATGAATTTTTTAAAAAATATTTAAATCATAATAATTAAGGAATGTAAAATGCTAAAAACATGATATTTATGATTAAAGATATTTTAATCCAGTTTCATAAAATACAGAACTAAAAATATATAGCAGACTAAGAATTTTTGTGTGAACAAAATTGACTGACTAGTCAGACAATAGAAAACAATTGCTGTGGAAACATGATGTGGATTCAGTCAGATTGGTCTGGCAGGCTGAAGTTTAAATCCATCTTTATATAATAACACTACTACCAACATTTTTTTGCACTCAAAAATATATCAACAAGATTTGCTGGTGATTTAGATGCTTACACAATGCATTGAAATATGACTGATTGTTCTGACTCGTGAGTACACATATGCAAAAGCATTTGTTTCTCTTGAGTGATAAGAATGCAATCTAATGTCTGATTTTGATTTCATCGAGTGCATCAATGATACAACAAGCAAAATATATGACAGATACAGCACCATAACAACTTGTTGATCCAAGATCACCAATAAGTCACGAGTTTATTCATATGCGGTGAATTCTTGCTTATAGTGGTTTTGAGCAACAAAATGTCAAAGGTAGTCATATCATGTAAATCACTTTTTACACACATTCAGTTCTTAAGCAATACTGTTACTAAAGTTCTTGGAAAACTGGAAAAAAATAACATCCCAAAGATTCATGGATTTCACGTGGAGAACTAGAGACATGTTAAAAGAGATAAGTCTAATGGATCATAAAAAAAAAACATTCCTCACACAATAGATATGGCTGCTCTTTAGGTCTTTCTAAACAGAAAATGCTCAAAACACTCCTACATACCTTGCAGAAACACAAACTCGCCAACACTGACTGTATGGAAGGCAATAAGAGCGATTCAAGAGAGTAAAAAATATGAATGAAGAATGGCAGGTCAGTTAGGGAAAAGCAAGAATAGTTTACACTTTTACTGAAGTTTTTATTTTACTGAAAAATCAGTCACTCACGACCTAGCTAGAGATAAGATTGGACAGAGTCTGCCGAATTAGAGACCCTGTGCGCATGCAGAGTCTACACACTTAATACACCATTGATTATATAGCATTATTGTAGCATAACTCATATAAAGTTTTGACATTCAAAATTAAATGTTTTTACTATTAATAAAAATTTTAAATTTGTAATTGGAATANAGATTTATTTATTAAGGGGTTTGATGCTATTAAATTTTGGTGATTAAAGGTCAAGGGGGTCGTTTTATCTCCAGTAGGTCAGACAATTTTACTTGTTATCAGCATTTACAATTTTTTTTTATAAAACTCATCCTTACTCTCAAAATTAAGCTTTATATATATATAAAACATAAATCACATAATATATTCAGAAAAACAAATATTTTCAAAATTAAATGCTGGATTTTAGAAGTTTTTGTTAATTTTTTAATCGTACTGTCCAGTTGGATATTAGTCTTGTTTTTTGTGATATACAGTAGAGCATTGATTATCCGAATACCAATCAACCGAATCATTGGTTAACTGAAAGTGTTCCATTCAGCAAATTCAAATTTCCAGTAGTGCTGTGGCACTGCAGCACTCTTTCCCTCCCTGCCAACCTAAACTGTAGGCCTACTTTAATGTACTACTATATATAAGATATGTATTTGTAAGATGTATGATACAAAATATATACAGTACAGTTTTGTGTTTAATATATTTTTTCAAAAATGATCAGTTATCTGAAAAATCACTAATCCGAACAATCCCAGTCCTAAATTGTTTCGAATAATCTATGCTCTACTCTATTCTTACGTGAATATTTAATTTCTATTTTAAAATCAAATAAATAAAAAAAAACTTTGACATGGATGTCTAAAGAAGTCAGATTTATAACAATTTAAATAATTTCATCAATTAAATTTTTATTCAATTTATATAAATGTTTTAATTGTGTATTTATGTAAGTAATAGCAAATGCTCAGGCAATATGTTAAGTCACCACATATGCATACCAGCAATAATATTTTAGAAAAAAAATAGTAGTAATCTTTTTTAGAAAAAAAAAAATATATAAATAATTTTTATATATCTTTTTATATATCTATTCTATACTGTATAGAGTTGAGTATACATATACGGTAGACCCGCAGTAATCCGACAAACATTTTGCAAGGCAGTGTCGGATGATCAAATTTGTTGGACTATAGAGTACTGCCACTGACCTCTTGTAGTCCAGAAATTTTTTGAAAAGGAGTATCTTGTAATTGGACAAATTACATACTTATAAAAATGGTAAGATCAAATCTATATGTACTACATAATATACAATATAGGACTTAGTAAATTAAACAACATAATAGATAGCGTAGTGTTTATTATAAAATTAACGTCATTAACGCTATAGCACTTGCAAAAAAAATAATAACTAAACATATTGATGTCAATCAATTATATACAACATATACAGTGATACCTCAGCTTACGCTACCCCGACTTACGCGAACCCGGAGTTATGCGATTTTCAAATCTTGTCGATTTGTCTTTTGTTTGAGCACCATGCAACTCTTGATTACTCATTCCCTCCACACTATTGTTCAACTTACATGTTTGGACGTGTCGTGCGGAATCGACACATAGCTACAATTTATTTTGTGTTATTTATTTCTGTGTTTGTTATATCTACGGAGACTCGAGAGACTCTATGTGGCGATTTCTTGTAACAATGAACGAATCAAAAGACGAGATAAGATTAACGAGAACATTTATTAGCTTACATACATCCGACTTGGATTTTACACACATTGAGAAATTATACCCCAACTTACGCGAATTCGACTTACGCGGTTATTGCTCGGTCCCACCTATCGCGTAAGTTCGGGGTATTACTGTATAAGTATTTCCAAGGTACATACTATGTATGATCTTAATTTGAAAATGGATAAACAAATAAATTTATGGTGCATCAAATATTCATAAATTTTCTTTTGTTTTACATTGGCTAAACGTGAGAGTAAGGCCTTGTCTCTCAGTCTCCTCAGAAGTAAAAGTTCGTTGTACAATGCACCATTCTCTTCGGCCCATTGCATACCGAGCTGCATACAGGCATGTCGGATTATAGGGAATGCCAGATTAGACAGGCGCTGGATTACCGCAGGTCTACTGTATTATATTAATCAGTCGACAGTGAGGGATGGATATATCTGTACAGGGCAATCGTGTGGCAGTGGTGAGGGACAGATATATCCATTAAATTCTTTTGGGGTATCGCCAAAAACTACAGTGAAAAAAAAATTCACATAAAAATTAATTTTTTTACTAGACATAACTGTTTACAAAATCTTTTTCCAAAATGGTAATGAGAAAAAAAACGTGTGGAAAAATATTTAAAAAATTTCCCACATTTATTCTCCACTACTTTGGGATAGCACCATACCTGACTATCCTACTGTTGAAAGATTAATATAAAATAGTGAAATTTCACAAAAAAAAATTAAAAACAATAATTTTTATTTTGCACTCTACATTTTTTAAAAACAAAATTGAACCCAAAATCAAATGTGTCTGAATTATACAGTAATACCTCGGTTTTTTTCATAATTCGAAGTTTAGACTATTTACAAAAAGTCAATAACTTTTGAGTCTATCTTTATCCTTTTTTACACTTAAAAAAAGGATAAAGATAGACTCAAAAGTTATTGACTTTTTGTAAATAGTCTAAACTTCGAATTATGAAGAAATAAATCCTGAGTTATTACAAAAATTGTAACCTCGGTTTTTGTTGACTTCAGTTATTGTCGGTTTTGGTTTTCATCGATTTTTTTTGTAAAATATTTATCTTGGTTTTCGTTGATTGCCTCAGATTTCGTCGGCGTGCCCAAGTCACCTCGCTGCTAATTTTGCAAAAACAAAAGACAACCCATGCATTTTCCAGCTCAGTGTAGTGTTATTTCTCATTCTGT